GACATTTGTCCAGCTCCACAAAATTGTGATAACAAGCTGTTAAACAAACAACATAGATTTTGAACAGAAAGAAATTATTTAGTGTGATCTGGGGAGTGCGATAAACCTACCTCCACGTGGTGCACACTGGACAACGTATATTCATACGGCAAAAAGTCTATTAACCGACAGTTGACTTCTGACTTCGAACTTCCATCACCCCACTGTATGTCATATTCGACTACTTCCACAGTACTCACATCACCTTTTTTCTACCTTTGTGTCTGTCTGTCTCTTTTACATCTTTGAAACACACTTCTATCCGCCCCCCAAGACGTTTTTTTCACTTTGATGTTCCTTCCCATCTGTGAAGCCTGAAGTTAACTAAAGGGCAAATGATAACCATCAAACTGCCTGCCATTTGATATAAATAAATAAGTAAATTTAGTGTGATCTAACTAATTTTCAGTTCAGACGGCTCTTTCGCAGCTTAAACTTTATCAAGATTACCAACAAGCATGGTCGCGTTTCTTCCTTTCTTATTCTTGAGTTCTTTCCTAGATTGTATAAACTTTCAGTTGGTTTAATTCACTACGAAATTGCCCAGCTAATTCAAGACCATCATGCACATGGCACCATCTGTGCTTTCGCAACGTGCCTACAAATTTAATGTTTCACACGTTAATGCAATCAATAACCAACAATGTGTGCACGACCTTGACACGTGTGTTTGATTGGTTGGTTAAAGAAATGTACATTCGATTTGCGTGGCTGTTTTTTAGGGCTTGAATCTGTGTAAAATTGTGAGTAGGTGATTTTTTGTAAGTGGTTTACTTAAATGAGAAAACTGACTTTGCTTCGGTAGAATGTGTTTTTGGGGAGTTAAAATTGAACGTTTAACACTAACACGTTAAGTGGTCTGTCTGAAGTTTCTCTTTTTAAGAAAGCAGATGAGGAAATTAATTTAAATTTTCGTAAAATACTGTGCAATTTTGGTAAGAATACGCAAATTTTCGTGGTAGTTCACTTGCTAAGGAAAACTAATTTTTACTCAATTGAGGAGATGACACAGAACAGGTGTAGGGGTGGAAAGACTGTTTAAAAATAAAAATTATTGATTAAATATCCAAGGCGCTATCCATTTAACGAAAGTGCATAATTAACGTTCGAAATGTTGTAACTTTCTTTAAGCTTGGGTAAAATTGCATAAGATCGAGTTTATTGCTTAGTAGACCATTAGATTTACAGGTCAGGATCTACATATCTCTTTGGCAATATATCCTGAGAGACAATTTAATGTTATTGGGACTTATTAGTTGAAAGGCTTGATGAATCTTCTTTACTATAACTAATCACGCGATGTGAATCCTCATCAGAGGTGACTTAGAATAGCAGTGTGCTCAAGGGGAGAATTGATTAACGCCTCATTACAACGGACTCGCAGCATGCTTTCGTAGAAAATGTTTGAAAAACCTTACTATGTCAATATAGCAAGCACTGCACTGGTGATATACTTTAGGGCTGTATCGTTAACAATCAAGTTACTTACTATTGTTTTATAATGGTGTCTGATAATTTGCATTTCACTTGCAGTAAACCTGAGGAGTCAGCTTCTGCTACTCAGCCATCAAAATTCACAGCTCCTCAACCTCCACCTTCTCAACCACCTCCACCACCTCCTACCAAAGAAGCTTCTTCTATGATGGTCTTGAGTTCGAGACCCATCACAGGTCACCCTCGTGTAGATGATTCCTCCTCAGGTATGTTGGATGAGGCTTCAGTTCTCCACATGACCGATCTTCTCACTCAAAAGCACGCGTCGGATTGTGTTCGAGAGTACATTCTGTCAGCAGCGTCTTCAGAAATGGAGCATGAGAGAGAGAGACGACTGCAAGCTGCGGCGGTGAATGTTGTGGCCTTCAGAAGAAGGGTTCCGGCTGTACAGGGTCACCCTCTCTTTGAGGCAACAAGGAGTACTGTGGTGGCAACTCCTTCTTCATCAACCAACACAACGTTGGAAAGACCGGCTTCAGCTGTGGTGCCAAAGGTTCTACCAGCGGAAGAAGAGATTACTATTCGACTGATCAAAGGTTAGTTATTGTTTTGGTAATTTTAATTTTTAGGCAAAATTTATTTATATTAAATGACAGGCTTTATGATAGTTATCATTAGCCTCTTAGTTGACTTTGGGCTTCACAGAGGGGAGAAACATCAAGGTCACAAAATGTCACAGATATAATAGAGAAGGCGACACAAAAGTAGGGAAAAAAGGTAAGGTGAGTACTGTGGAAGTGGTGGAATATGACACATAGTGGGGTCATGGCAGTTTTAAGTCAGAAGTCAACTACCGGTTGATAGACTTTTTTGCCGTATGAGTATGCGTTGCCCAAGGTACACCGCACTTTTCAATATAGATTGGGAGAATGCGGAGTTCTCATTGGAGATTGACTGTTTAATGACTTACTAATGATTAAAGAAAATAAAAAGCGTTAGCTACATCTAGTAATCATAAACACATGGCCAACATGATTTCTTGCTACGAGGTGATGCGATAAAACCAACGTGATAATCTGCCATCCAAGTATGTTTGGGTAATTACTTTTATCAGATGACGAAACCTTCGCGCTCTAATTCAGTTGAGGCTAACAAATGTTTAAAACAGATGTCATTTTACCGAGCACTGACACTTTCGGTTACAAAAGACATTTTTCTGCCAAAAAAAATATTGCACAAATGTTCTCTACAAAGTTTATTTTGAAGTCCATTCAAGTTTCATAATGGACTCATTTATTGATCTTGCTATCTTGTAATCAACTGTAAATTTTATTTACATTTGTGTGTCTTATCCAAATATCGCAAGATTATTACCTTATCCAAGATGAGTGGTTTATGTTTGAGGGGTTTTGAGAATTCTTATGAGATTTAAGGCTCTATGGGCACTTCAGTACTCGTCTTGGTGGTTTAAGTTCATCATTATTGCAGCTGTTAGGGTAGTCTATATTCATACTTATTAGTGATCAGTAGCTCTTGTGGTCTTATGTTTTCGCTTTCAGTGTTTACTTCGTTCCAACTTCATTTATTGTTTAAAGCGCGATTAATTAAGGCAGACAAAAAGAAATAAAATTGTTAATGGGATTGTATAGATCTTAAGGTGGACAAGTGTACATAAAAGGTCCGATTCGATGGTTATTTTCAACACATTCTCTCGCGTTTTAATCGATAGCGCTCCCGATCCAAGAATAGGTTTAAGCTTCATTAGCTGTTGTTTGTTTAACATAGTCACCCGCTAGATTTGTATCATACATTTCTGAGCCAAGATATGTGTGAAAGCACTGGTGGGCATCAGGACTGTTTAGTCTTCTTCTTCGTCCCAAATGCATGTTTATTACCGATACTTTTAGCCCTTTGAAGAAGCTGTTCAGTTTTTTTTTCAATAGAATGAGAGCAAAGGTAATCAAAGTTTATCCTTGTCCTGCAGTGCTTTGCAGTTGACACGGTTCTTACAGCAAGGAATACCTTCTAACGTAAACTATTTATTCAGTGCCTTCCTTCCACCACACCAAGAAGGAAAGCACTTCTCTAATTGCCAGTGTTTGTTCCAACTTCTTTCCCTTTGTGAATACTGGCTGATTCAACGTTCGCCTTGGAACTACGCATTGGACATTTTGGCAGGATTTTATCAATTGAAGCTTTAATGTTTATTTCAAATGGCAGGCGTTTTGATAGTTATCATTAGCCATTTAGCTGACTTCAGGCTTCACAGAGAGGAAGAGGAACATCAAAGTGACAAAATGTCGAGAGGGGGGGGGGGACAGAATAATGATTCACAGATGTGACAGAGACAGACAGGCAGACAAAAATGCAGAGAAAAGGTGAGTGAGGTGTGAAGTAGTCGAATATGACATACAGTGGGGTGATGGTAGTTTGAAATCTGAAGTCAACATTTTTGCCGTATGAGCATACTTTGCCCAGTGTGCACCACGCGGAGGTAAGTCTATCGCACATCCCAAATGAAGAGTGATCCACTTAAGTTGTTCAAATTGTAGCGCATTCAGCCCTGATATGTTGCCTGATAATAATAAGTAATTTACTAGTTGAAGTTATTCAAGGGTTTAAAATGGAATCTTGAGGTATTTTCAGTGTGTTCACATTTAATTTTTTAAAACGCTGTTTGAAATGCGAATGATTCGGTATATTTTGAGTGAGAAAACTCGGATCAACGATAACCTCCCTACGCTTAGGCGTTAGCCTTTTGGCTATGAACTTGTAATTTCCCTCCCAGCAAGTGGTAGGCTTCAGTGAATTCAATCCGGTTCTTGATGTGCTAACTATCTCCTTTTTTCCGTGAACATTGCTCCACCTGTGACATGTTAGTCTTTCCTGTTTTAATCCTGGATGAGTTGCTGACGTTGAGTTAATTTTGCAGTTGTTTATGCCACCTCGATTCATTGCAACCCAGAGTATATATATATATATGAAAGTAGTGGCAAGCCTTTAATATATCATCGCTTTGTTTCTTTAGGAGTTTGATTTTGCGTCTTGATTTGCGCGTCTTCTAGATGCTTATCTGAGATATTGCAACCCCTGGCGTAAGGATGATTTGGGGCATGTATTATTATTATTATTACTATTTTCGAGAGGGAAAAGTGCTGGAAATGCCTAGTGCAATTATCGTCTTGGTAGAGTATCTTTCATGAGTTTGTTGTTTTGGTTAAGCTTATAGCAGGTTGCTACAGCGAATAAGCCTTCAATTTTCCTCCGTAATCTCTAAAGCCAAATACTCAGCTTAGGAAAGGCTCACGATATTAGTTAAGCTACCTCAATAATACAGAGGGAATGAACATTTCTAGCTTATTAGTTAAAATGTCCTCTGCAAGCGCGACCACACCCCTCCCCCGCCAGCTTGAGAATGTGTGCTTCACAGGCTGGAGTATTCCAAAAAATATTTATGATATTGTTCCAGAATGCGATTTTCCCTCCAGTTCTCTGGGTATCAGGTCTAGTGAATGAAATAATTGCGCTCCCAAGAGCACCATCTGATGACGCTTTTCTGTGAATTGCTCCATCTTTCACTTCACTTTCCAAATGAGGCCTATTCTAGTAAATACAACGTTTAGTGTCCATTCTCCCTGACAAAAGTTACCTCTCCTCCTAATTCGCTTACCTGATATAACCCAATTGCCACTCTCTACTTCTGTGTATCATTCATTCATCGGTCTGTAAGTTAATTATCCCCTTTTTTCCTCCATCCGAATATCTTATTCAAGAGTCCACCAAAGTACACAAGATCGTACTTGAATGCACATTTTTTGTCGGAGGGAGGGGGGAGGGAGGGCTGGGTGCCCTTCACCTGTTCAGTTGGAGTTTCTTAGCGGGTCTGGGTGTGGGATTCTGCAAGTGCCCTTATCTTTAGCTAATAAATCAGCTAACTTTTTTTGGCTTCATAAAATCAATCGCAGTCTAGCAGTGAACGAATGGCTTTAGAGTAATTAATTCAATTTTATTTAGGGTTCAAAATGCCTGTCAAAGTTTAATCAAAATGCTGATTTTGTTTAATGTGGAAGAAACCATGAATAGTTCTCATGGGGCTAAATCATTCACAGAACGTAGTGACGAATTTATTTCAGATAAGAGTTGGAATTGTGTGTGGAATAAGATTGTATCAAGGCGCATTTATCACACAGCCTAATGTTTCGGCTAACTTTTGTTGCTCTCCTGTGGATTCATGCTAAACTGATGTTTTGCCATCCCTCGCATTGGGGGGTTCACATTGAGATGGGCTCTCTTTGTTTCCATTTGCAATTCTTTAGTTGCCTACTTGTTCTATTCCCATTCCCAAGTCAACTTAAAGTGATTTTTGTACTTTTGCAAGAGTCCATCCAAAGTGGCGGAAATCTCAAAACAGAAATCGCAAGACAATATTTGAGGAAATTCCTATTGGACTCTCTCTCTTTAGTTAGAATATTAAATGAAAAAAATAAGGTAACTTGAGAGAAGGGAAATTTTTGATTCTCAAAGTTTAATTAAACTCCTACTCCCAAATTGCTGAAACCATAGAAAGGCAAATAGACTGTTGTTTTCTGATAGATGTTGGCTAAACCATCATTGGTTTTCATTTTTTCGTTTCACTTACGCAATTTTAATTAGAAGGATATATATATATATATATATATATATATATATTGGTCCTTGATAAAAACAAGCTAGGATGTAAATTTATACAGCAACGTTGATGATAATTCCATTTATTTGAATTATAGGGATAAAGAGCTTTATTACATTATTTTGCTATCATTCTTAAAAAGAATCACTCTCTACCTCACCTTTTTTTAAATAAATCGGATAGCAAGTAATGTGTTGTTTTTTATTAAACATATATCGAATTTGTTGTTGTTGTACTCAAATTATCGAAATTAATGAAGCCTTAATTCATTTTTTGGGGTTCCTTTGGGTCAGTGTTTGAAGCAATAAATTGCCACCTTTCTGCGCAGTTTAAAACTAAAAAAAATATTAACATCCCGTCACAATCTACGCATAAACTTTTACTAGAACGTGTTATCCACAATTATTTATTTAATCAAGTCCAGTCTTTGTTCTTATTATGATAACGAGGAACTTATAAATCAACACCCCATGTATTTTAATTTAGCGGCCGCAGGTTTAGGATTCAGTCTAACAACAAAAGAGGTGTTTCTGGGCGTCTACTCAGCAGGTCGCACTTCACCAGCGAAATCCCAACAGCCATCTACAAAATCACAACAACAGCAAACTGTTAATCTAACACCAATTTATGGACGGGCCGTCTGTGTTAAGAGCATAATTCCAGGAGGAGTAGCTCTAAAAGATGGCTCCTTACGGGTCGGTGACCGACTTCTTAAAGTGAGATATATTACTTATTGTACTTTAAATAGTAGTATCAAGGTTTGCCCAGAATATTCCTCTGTACATTTAGGTTGATCGTGAAGACGTTTCGAGTAAATCCCAGGCACAGATTGTATCCCTACTCCGTGTAAAGCCTGTTGGTTCTGAGGTTGAGCTTATTGTTCGGCGACCGCAGCGTCTAACTACTGGTGGATCCCAAACGTCTAGAAATGTTGAAAGTGAGCCCGCCTATCGCACTATAAGTCCTGGAACGAGTCTTGCCACTTGTGGATGCATGTCTCCCCATTGTGGTGATTATAGTCTGCTTCGAAGTGGAAGATTGGCGAGTACGGATGATTCTCAGATCGGTAGTCAAACGGAGGTGTGTATTATTATTTTTTTAAATAAGAAGACTAAATTTTGTGGACTGGATTTTAAGTGATATCCTATTACTTAAGCGATTCGAGAAGTGCGTTTACCTAAAGTTGGACATTCCATTACTACCTGTGGAAGCGCAGCTTTCAGTGGAAAGTGATGGTGGTGGTAGTGGCATTGCCATGACAATACGTAATCGATTAGCTACTATGCGATTGGGTGTTAGTGTTCGTGAAGATATTCCAGAATGGTATCCGAATTCCTCAACAACAAGCGGTATATTCGTAAAAGGTCTGATAGAAGGTGGAGCAGCTCACGCAGTAAGTCAACTATTCAATAAGACCTACATCATCTGCTCATAGTATTTCAACAGACTCTTTTCAATTTGTAGGATGGACGACTGCGAATAGGGGATGAAATTCTCGAAGTTAATGGAATTTCTTTGGTGAATACTCCGAATCCTCTGGCTCTCCTTCGAGCCGTCCTCAAACAGATATCCTCCCTGACGCCTCTGAATGTACCCCCTAACTCATCATCCAATTGTCTTAATGATCAAACCACTGCATTTCCCATAGTTCGACTCCTCATCGCTCGGCGCATTCGACATAGAAGATCGGCTTCAGGACACACGGTGAGCTTTCGAAAATGAACGCGATTGTTTACTTATATAATTTAAGTAGACAATATTTATAAATGTCCTGCATGACCGGATCCCAATTAGTTTAGTAATGGTACATTTATCCTCTCCCCTTCAGCCTCCAACAAATTTAGTTGAATAGCGTTGGTAATTACAAAGGTAGTTTTTTCCTTCTTTTATCTTACGAATCTGCTTGCTTTATTACTCTGCTGCTTTGGTTGGCCTTTCCTTATTACTAATTACTAATGTGTTAACCAGCTTTTGTTTGCTTGGTTCTGTTTCAAAAATCTTGGAGATACATCTCACCAATATTGAACCAAATCCGTTTATGATCTTTTAATTGAGTTTTAGGTAATTTTTTACCTTAAACTGTTTCTCTGGTGATGAATTTCAATTCAATCACTTGGGATTTTCAGGTCACTCTCACGTGCTAAATTGAATCAATTTTTGTTATAGCTTTTATTTTATTGATCAGAAATATAGCTTCCATTTAACCTTGAGTAAGCACTTTCTTCAAAGGGCTAAGATTAGTCTTGTAACTCGTTTAAATCGGGCATTTTTCCCTTTACTTGGTTCATTTCACTGCATTATTTCCTAGTATTCCAGAGTTTAAATTTAAGGAAATGGCCTCTAAGTTCCTGAATGATATCATGTCCGCTTTTCCCACTGCCTGGCAGTTGACTAATTTATTTTTTACATTTTTTTTCACCACGATAGCCAATATCCACTTGATAATACTAACAACATAAAATGTGTTATATTCCGTATAACTAGCATCAGTTAATACAGTTTATTCAGTATGATCTGTTTTTAGTTCATGTTTACGTTCGAGTAAAAGTTTACAGTAGTGTTGGTTTTCGCTCTTCTAAATTCTAATATTTAATAGGAGTAGTTGTGGTATGAAAGCCATTTTTCTACATCTCTTGAATTGTGCGTAAATATTCTGGGAACAACTTGCCTTGCATCCTTCAGTAAACAATCGATTATTCAAATTTCTAGAAGTAGAGTAATGAACGTTGAACTTTAGATTCCTGAATTAGACGTGATTATGTTTCATCATTTCAGATATAATGAGACAACTCTTCCTTGCATTGATTGCAAGTCAAGTAGGACGCGACAAGAGTTGTGGGTGGAAATTGAAGAGACGAATTCAGAAGTCCTATCTGTCGAATTCATTAAGCATTGGATTGTTTACCATCTCATTCTAGGAGTTATTTGCTTCATAATGCACAATTTCTCCTAATCTTGCCTCAGTCATTTGTTCATATCTCTTACAGATAGCGGTGACTAGCGAAGAACTTTTTAACGCGACAAATTCATCTAAAGTTCACTTAAAGCGTAATGGTGCAATTTCTGTTATGGATCAATAAGAATAGCCTCGTAGTCAAGTCTATACCATCTTCTTAAGTGAGCTGTCAAATTTTTTGGTGGGTGTACATTCAGTAGTATGATGTGCATGACCCAATACCAAGTATCACTTTAATGGGCAGAACATATAGACACGCATCAGGTTTCTACTTGCAGAAAATTGCGCTTTCATAACACCAGACACCCACTATGTTTTATTTACGCCTTTGTTTTAATTAGAGTTGGAGTAGCTGATGTGTAATACCGAGATTTGAGATCGTGGGAAAATCCACGTGGCTTAATGAGCTAGTAACGAGCAAAACAGTTTTGTGGGTGTAGTTGATTGAAAGATTTAGGAAAAATATGGATTAATGTATATTTTGGACACCCGCTAAAATCAGTACTTATACTGTGTCCTCATAACGACTTTTATGCAGAAAATTCATGAATTTATGCGCGATGAAGTGAAAGCTTTCCTATACCCTAACCTGGAGCACTCTAAAATAATTCGGCAAATGTGCAGTCTTTTTTATTCTTTGTAAGTAATTTTCCACTTTAAGCATTATTGATGGGAACGTTTGATAAAATAATGGCTTTTTCTCTAGAAGCGTCTTTTTCGTCACTAAAATTGAACCGCAGTCAGTCTACTTTCTATGCCTCAATCAGATTTTGCCTCTATGGGAACCTATGAAGGAAATAAGCTGAAACTATGCTATTCAGATATTTTTTCAACTGTTTTTTTGTTAAATCCGAGCAATTATTTACCAATTCAGTTTCTAGTAATATTTTGGCTGATAAAAGCAGGAGCGAATTTCTACTGTCATCACCTCTTAATCGTTTTGGTTTGAAAGTTAATCTGTCATGTTACCCAAATTCCGTTCCTAGTGTTTTCCTTAGACTACCTTCATCAATCCATTCCTTCTAAATCAAATGACCTCATGGAAACACTTATATTTAGTAATGGTTTTGCTTTCTGTAGCTTCGGATGTAGTGTGGAAGGTTAGTCTCATATCCATTATTGTCTTTAAATGAGCACGGTTTTTTTCAAGACTTGCGTGCATGTTGAACTTAACCCAAAAACCAACGCTTGCCGACCTTCGTTGCTATTATTTACTATATGGGACATATTTGATACAACCTTAAATGCCCTATATCATATTTCGTAGATAAGCTCCAATGCGGGTATTGAGATAACTCCGAAATCATCAGTTGAAACAGGCCCTCTAATCGATATCTCTAAATCATCTACCCCTGTGTCCCTAAACCCAGTTAACAGCAGTCCAATTGAAATTCCAAGTCGTCCAATTCGAATATCAGCTGATGTTCATGCCACAAGTAGTATGAAAACTACTGTTACTACAACAACCACCGAAGCTCTCGCCAGGGGGAACCCAGGTGTTGGCCTTGATGAGTCTACATCAAGTCCTTCAACCCTTAGAAAGAAAAGAGTCGCTCCGAATCCCGTTCAACAAAATGCAATTTCCCCGCAGATTAAGAAAATTCCCTCAGATAAATGGTAGGTGGGAAATTGTTCTGTTTTAATGAGTTTAAACACACTACACCCACACACACACACGTGAAACTGATCAATATTCGGTTTTGCACTTTAGATATCTCTCTACTCCCCCACTTTAATGTCCCTATGCAACTTGTCAACTTAAGAATCGATCAATCTACATTCCTTTCGTAGCAATTCTTCGCTCCCCCCCCC